CTCGCCTTGGGTGAAGTATTATTCCCTATTGGTTGACGCATGGATCATCATTGGTTGAAGTGTTATTCCCCATTGGTTGACGTACGGCTCGCCTTGGGTGAAGTATTATTCCCTATTGGTTGACGTATGGATCATCATTGGTTGAAGTGTTATTCCCCATTGGTTGACGTACGGATCGCCATTGGGTGAAGTATTCTTCCCTATTGGTTGACGTATGGATTGCGTTGGTTGTAGTATTATTCCTCATTGGTTGAAGTATGTGTCATTGGTTGAAGTTTTATTCCCCATTGATTGGGGAATATGGATCTCCATTGGTTGAAGTAATTTTACCAATTGGTTGAAACATTACTCCCCATTGGCTGAAGTATTATTCCCCATTAGTTGACGTATGGATCGCCATTGGTTGAAGTATGGATCCCCTTTGGTTAAGGTATTGTTCCCCATTGGTTGGCGTATGGATCGCCATTGGTTGAAGTATGGATCCCCTTTGGTTAAGGTAATGTTCCCCATTGGTTGACGTATGGATCCCCATTGGTTGAAGTATGGATCCCCTTTGGTTAAGGTATTGTTCCCCATTGGTTGGCGTATGGATCGCCATTGGTTCATTTGGTCAATACGTTCCTATATACATTCTCGTCACAGTAGTAAATGTCTACGACTAACATTTATTCTACTTGATATAGTACGTCCTTAATGATGCCGACAAGATTTCAAACACTGTGGCGTTATCCCAAACACATTCCCTCACTAACACCTGTCATGTGATCCGTGATCTAGTGTATGGAGGTTCATAGGAGTGAGTGATTTTAGTTTTACGCCGCACTCAGCAATATTCCAGCTATATGGCGGCGGTCAGTCTATAAATAATCGTGTCTGGACCAGACAATCCAGTGATCAACAACATGAACATCGATCTACGCAGGTGGGGTACAATGGTATGTGTCAACCAAATCAGCGAGCCTGACCACCCGATCACGTTTGTCGCCTTTCACAAGCAAGGGCCATAGAAAAGAAACAGTGGGTTCTTGATCGTGTGTACGCTCACCCCCAAAAGAAACCTAACATGAGACTGTAGTATTTATTTTACCATACAGTATAGCTTATATAAGTATACTTACTTTAGTGTAGGATTACAGGTGTCGGAACTCCCGTCAGCAGCAGCCGCCATCAAAAAACATTTGCTGAACTATTTGTTATTGTCCAGGCGTGTTGGACTTCCGGTGCCGGCCTTGATTGTGTACAGATGGCGCTGTTATCGTTGCTCGTGATAATTTCGTTATAAATGTCAATGCCAACGGGTGCTTGGGCCAGATAGGTTTTTGTCTAGAAAACCGTAATGTCTGGTTTATCGACAACAAACTAATTTTGGAAGATGGCTTGTTTGGTATCGGTCTGTGCGAAAATCGCTAGTCAGTTGTTAGGAAAACAGTATATTTCATTCTCGGATACGGTGTCAAGAGTACCGTCAAGAGCCGTGTAAAGACCGTGGCTGACTAACGCTTAGTCTCTGAATATATATATAATTTTGATTGTAACAAATAAACACATTTCAATTGAAAAGGAGCCCCAGGAAATCTAGACTTGATTAATTTAGAGCCTTCGCATTGAAGGGAGTGAGTGAGTGAGTAAAGTTTTACACCGCACTCAGCAATATTCCAGCTATATGTCGGCGGTCTGTAAATAATCGAGTCTGGACCAGACAATCCGGTGATCAACAGCATGAGCATCGATCTACGCAATTGGGAACCGACATTGAAGGGAGGGCTAAGCTGTAGGGAAAATAATATGGTTCATGGACTGTGAGACAGACCAAGATCGCGGTTATGGGTTCGAATCCAAGATGTACCTGGATTTGATTCTTTGATGTGGCAACATGTACATTCTCTGGTGTTGAGGGAGGGGATGAACGTCAACATATAGCGTCACTATGTGATTTCTCTGGCGTTGAGGAAGGGGATGAACATCAACAGACAGCGTCACTATGAGATTTCTCTGGTGTCGAGGGAGGGGATGAACGTCAACAGACAGCGTCACTATGTGATTTCTCTGGTGTTGAGGAAGGGGATGAACGTCAACAGACAGCGTCACTATGTGATTTCTCTGGTGTTGAGGGAGGGGGTGAACGTCAACAGACAGCGTCACTATGAGATTTCTCTAGTGTCGAGGGAGGGGATCAACGTCAACAGACAGCGTCACTATGAGATTTCTCTAGTGTTGAGGGAGGGGATGAACGTCAACAGACAGTGTCACTATGAGATTTCTCTAGCGTTGAGGGAGGGGATGAACGTCAACAGACAGCGTCACTATGTGATTTCTCTGGTGTTGAGGAAGGGGATGAACGTCAACAGACAGCGTCACTATGTGATTTCTCTGGTGTTGAGGGAGGGGATGAACGTCAACAGACAGCGTCACTATGTGATTTCTCAGGCGTTGAGGGAGGGGATGAACGTCAACAGACAGCGTCACTATGTGATTTCTCTGGCGTTGAGGGAGGGGATGGACGTCAACAGACAGCGTCACAATGTGATTTCTCTGGCGTTGAGGGAGAGGATGAACGTCAACAGACAGCGTCACTATGTGATTTCTCTGGTGTTGAGGGAGGGGATGAACGTCAACAGACAGCATCACTATGAGATTTCTCTTGTGTTGAGGGAGGGGATGAACGTCAACAGACAGCGTCACTATGAGATTTCTCTGGCGTTGAGGGAGGGGATGAACGTCAACAGACAGCGTCACTATGAGATTTCTCTTGTGTTGAGGGAGGGGATGAACGTCAACAGACAGCATCACTATGAGATTTCTCTTGTGTTGAGGGAGGGGATGAACGTCAACAGACAGCGTCACTATGAGATTTCTCTGGTGTTGAGGGAGGGGATTAACGTCAACAGACAGCATCACTATGAGATTTCTCTAGTGTTGAGGGAGGGGATGAACGTCAACAGACAGCGTCGCTATGTGATTTCTCTGGTGTTGAGGGAGGGGATGAACGTCAACAGACAGCGTCACTATGAGATTTCTCTAGTGTTGAGGGAGGGGATGAACGTCAAAAGACAGCGTCGCTATGTGATTTCTCTGGTGTTGAGGGAGGGGATGAACGTCAACAGACAGCGTCACTATGAGATTTCTCTAGTGTTGAGGGAGGGGATGAACGTCAACAAACAGCGTCACTATGTGATTTCTCTGGCGTTGAGGGAGGGGATGAACGTCAACAGACAGCGTCACTATGAGATTTCTCTAGTGTTGAGGGAGGGGATGAACGTCAACAGACAGCGTCACTATGTGATTTCTCTGGCGTTGAGGAAGGGGATGAACGTCAACAGACAGCGTCACTATGTGATTTCTCTGGTGTTGAGGGAGGGGATGAACGTCAACAGACAGCGTCACTGTGAGATTTCTCTGGTGTTGAGGTAGGAGATGAACGTCAACAGACAGCGTCGCTATGTGATTTCTCTGGTGTTGAGGGAGGAGATGAACGTCAACAGACAGCGTCACTATGTAATTTCTCAGGTGTTGAGGGAGGGGATGAACGTCAACAGACAGCGTCACTATGAGATTTCTCTGGTGTTGAGGGAGGGGATGAACGTCAACAGACTGCGTCACTATGTGATTTCTCTGGTGTTGAGGGAGGGGATGAACGTCAACAGACAGCGTCACTTCTGAGATTTCTCTAGTGTTGAGGGAGGGGATGAACGTCAACAGACAGCGTCACTATGAGATTTCTCTGGCGTTGAGGGAGGGGATGAACGTCAACAGACAGCGTCACTATGTGATTTCTCACAAAATACACCAAATGCCGTTATATAAATTAAGTGTGACGTTAAACCCATCTCGTGAGCGTTCTAAGAGACACAGCTGACAAACATGGGTATGTTTGCTACTAGAAACACCGAAAATATGCCCGACATATTTGTTTTGTGTGTGACAGCTTCTGAGAAAATTATGTATTTCTGTTCTAGTTTTTCGGGTAAGTGTTTTTCACACGTTCAAGTCTTTGTTTTTCTGTGAGTTAACAAACCTAGAGTAAAACATATATGTCAAGGACGTAGTTAGAGTTTCTCTTGATATTTGCCATCTTTCAGTCTTATTAGCGATTCTTCTTCATGTGACCATATTCTAACTCCGGAATTCCAAGTGTGTAAAGAAAGAAAACATAAATTGTTAAACTTAGATACACTAAACGCCAAAAGAAACGTTACCCTCCTTCCTTAATGACGGGGCTACCTATCTTCAACTGGCGTTGTGATGCGTGGACTTCCACTTCTTGCTCTGTCTACTGTGAACCCAGTCTGTCTGTAGCCCTGAATCAGTCTAATAATCGTGATACGGTGGCATCCGAGGGCGTTGGCAACAGCATTGTATGTCGACCCCATCTGCACCATCCCAATGGCTCTTTCCCTCTTCAGCTGTTGATCGTGGCGTATTTCTCGTACTTGTGTATCATATCATGTATTCTAGGCTCTCTTCATACCCTGTAGAATCATTCTACACGTGAAATGGATACAAATACTGCCTGAATATTGATGTGTTTGGGCGATTGATATTACTATGCGTAAACAGAAAATGGATAAATGTTACTTTGGAAGCAAAAATGTTAACAAAGATAATTTTAGATGTTCCTAAACACTTTTTTCGCAATATCAAAGACACGTTTAACTTGTTTTCACTCAGCAGAAAATGTTTTTTTACAATTTTACACACTCTACAAAAGCTGTTTCTTGTTTTAATAGTTGAAAATTGTGACTTGAAATGGTTTATCTTTCTCTCAAAGCAGAATTTTATTTCAACATTTCTTTTGGACATCTAAATCACTGTTATTGGTTTATTTCGGCATGGACGAAAAAAGGACAATTTAACTCTTCTGAAAAAGATGCATTTCACCTAAATATGAATGCATTTGAGAATATTTTTCGTGATTTGCATAACGCTGTGTTGTTAAGCTTTCTTGTAAACTAATACCTTCTAACATATCTTTGATAGTTTTTTAAGTAATTCATAATGGAAGGAGGGTAACGTTTCTTTTGGCGTTTAATGTATGTGTTTACAGCAATCTTAACTCTTACCCTTAACATGTGGACTTTGTAAATTCGAGAAGTGTTATGTTTGGAAAATCTCACACATTTATAACATCTGACACTTTCAAAACAACCTCAGCGTTAACATATTTCCATGGTCTATCATGCATGTATGGGATTCAGTGGTTTGTTGTAACACTAACAGGAAACCACTGACTCACGTCGCCCGGAGGAGGATTTTACTACATGCGGCAGTAGTGTATGAAGCGGCCGTAAAAGACCTTTACGTTCCGGGGTCTCCTTCCACGAAGCAACCTTTACTAAGGTTAACCTTAACTCCCATTCTTTACCATAGCAAGGTGACCTTAGTGACTTACGATCACCTTAGTGACTTACGATCACCTTAGCGTTTTGTGAAAGGAGGCCCTGGGCAACCCCGAACACCAGCCACTAACACTGACTGACTGATAGTCTGTCATACAGACCCTGAAGCAAATATATCCAAGAAAGCCCACGCAAGTCAAGAAAATGTGGCAAGTCTAGATTTTTGAACATGAAGAAAATCTCAGGGCTCCATTTCATTATATATATATGTTTTTACTGTGAGCTTTTTTTCTGTAAAATATTTTCATTTCTAACTGACTGATTTTATGCAGGTCTGCTAATGAAAACCAGCAGACAACAACCAAAACCTGGAACATGTACACTCCCTAAATAGACACTGCCACACAAAGCAATCCATAAAATATACATCGTAATGATCCCAACCCGGCCGCCACAGTTTCAAAGGAACCAAACACAATAAGCATCCGTGTTGATGATGTCTCCTTTCAAAATGTGTCTGTTTTAATATACTCATGCCAATAATGGTTGTCACCCCCTTCAATTTTTTTATTGGAGGGGTGTGGGGGGTTTGAGTGGGGAGGGGGGTGACAATGAGTATGAGTATGAGTATGTTTATCCTTTGTATAGTTTGTAGCTATTCCAATCAAATAATGTCCTTTCGGCGATATGGCAAGCCGTTTTCACATTTATTAAGAAATCCTGAAATCTTAAATTGTTTTAAAGATATTTTGAATGAAAATAGAGATATCTTGAATTAAATTGAAGATATCTCGAATAGATACAATATATATGTATCTGCAATAAAAATCATGATATCGCGAAATGAATTAAGGATATGATGAAACATATTAATGATATCTTGAAAACAATTTCTGGTATCTTGAATTGAATTATAGATATCTTGAAATATATTAAAGATATCTCAAAAAGATATAATGTATTGAGAAATTACTGATGTCTTCAATTGTTTTAAAGATATCTTGAATTGAAGAAGATCTCATTGTGTGGTGACAAAGTCGTTGCTTGTCATATAGAAATTGGCTTTACACGTGCCAAAGTCGAGAATCGAACCTGAACCTTGGTAAGACAAACGAACGCTTTAACCACGGGGCTATCCCACCTTCCCGCCCCGTATATTATTTGCTAGACAAAACAAAAAGTACCCTTGAAATCATTAATTTCCTAAAAATCACAAACGATATCAAAACATTACAAGACTGGAAAAAGTGACCGAGACCCTGCAAACTAAGGGTCCAAACACTGCTGTGATACCTGCACTAATACATCACGTTGGTGTAATCATTTCCTGGTTGTGTCATTTCTATCCCCGTCAAACATCCGTGTATGTCTCTTTCAGTTTCTTCAAGATACAAGAAAAAATTGTATCCAGGGACACGGATGTCCCAGCTGACATTCATAAGACATATAAAGATCAATAATTGAACAAAATTCACGAACAAGTTCAATAAACATCTATGCAACTATGAGATACACACCTTTCGAGTCCCAGTGAAACACATGTACAAGCTTAATCAATTTTGTTGAGCAGTTTTTGTGGAGAAGTGGATAGACTTAATCCCCTATTTCACTATCATCAGAGGGAAATTCAACAAAATTTATGTAAGTTCAAACGGCATTCAAATTGGAAAAACTATAAAATGCAAAAACAAAATATGAGATGCACACCTTTAGAGTCTCTATAAAAGACATATGTAAGCTAAATGAGTTTTGTGCAGTGGTTTTTTAGTTTTTTTAGGAGAAGTGGATAACGTACACCCCCCTGTTGGATGGAACGAACAGGCTGAATAGAACAAAATTCAACTAAGTTCAACCATCTGTAAAAGTGACAAAATTCAGAATTGCATAAAACAATATGAAATGCACACCTTTAGAATCCCTACGAAAGACATGTAGAAGTTCATTCAATTCTGTTGAGCAGTTTTTGTGGAGAAGTGGATAGACTTCATCCTCTATTACACTATCATCATAGAGAAATTCAGCAAAATGTACCCAAGTTCAAATGTCTCAAAACGTACCAAAAAAACCCCAATAAAATACAAAAACAAAATAGGAGATGCACACCATTAGAGTCCCAAGAAAGCCCATGTATAAGTTCATTGAATTCCACAGAGCGTTTTTTGTGGAGAAGTGGAAAGAGTACATTCCCTGTTTCGTACGGACGGACGGACGGACACGGAGTGTAACCCTATATGCCCCCAGCCATATAGCAAGATACACAGCGAACACATAGTGTTGTTGTGTATGTGTTTATCAAGTTAGCTTAGGAGTTCAGATCACAAGAAGGATATAGCATCTTGCTCCTAGTGGTGTATCAATCAAACGCTTTCAAGTCTTCTCTGCACGCAGTCTCCCTCTCTCGAGGTAGCCTAGACATGCACAAGTCTCTAAGACAATAATTATTGGTTTACGTATGAATTTCTAGATTGTATAAATAATAACAATTTGTCCATGCAAGAGACTGATGCCCTCAGAGTGTCTGCTTATCTGGACTTGATTATTATAAGGATAGCACTAGCACACGTCTTGTACTTGGTTTTGACTTGGAGCAAGGCTAGGAGAAGCCCCATCCTTCCATGTTTGTGCGAACTGATGGCAGTACAACACAGGCGGTTTACACCCACACTCTAATGAGACTAAAATCGATTCAACCTTTAAAGTAACGCGCTCGTTGGTAGTCGGAATCAGGGAATAAACACATGTGTTGTCGGGGTAATTGTGATGGTTGACTCTGATCCCTTCCGGTGAAATACATCACATGCTTCTGGGGAAGTAAACTCGCCTGCAGCGTTCCACATAGTCTGTCTCACAGTCCCTGAACCACATTATTTTACCAAATGCCTAGCCCTCCCTGCTGAAGCCCAAAATGAAGCAAGTCTAGATTTCCTTAGGTTCAGGATCTCCCATCTTACTGGGTCTCATTTTCAATTTAAATGGGTTTATTTGTTTCTATCAAAATTATATTTGTACATTCAGAGTGTGGCTGGTTGGCCAGCTTATGGTTAAAGCGTTCGCTCGTCATGTCGACAACCCAGATGTGTACAACGTAGGAAGCCAGATTCTGGTGTTCACCGCAGTTATTATGCTGGGACATTGCTGAAAGCGGCGTAAAACCATATCTAGTGACTCATGAGTACTACTGTGGATAAGGGTGGCCTATCGCACTTAAGGCGACGACATTCGCCATGCAGAGATGCGTCTGTTAGAGTTCATGGTTCTTGGGTTGTCTACACCGTATCCATGCTGGAAGATTTCACCGATGTGTTAAATGTCTAACAGCTGCATCATTTTCTTCGATAGTGATGATTGCTTTTGTGGTGATGGTGATGATGATGATGATGACAGCTAGGAAATCGCGAAATAAAGCATACGTAAGACGTTTACCACCCCCGAGCCGGGATATGCTTGTTTATTGGTTAACGTCGCACTCAGTAGTATTCCAGCTATAAGGCGCATGTCTATAGTGTGAGGACCAGACAATCCAGTGATCAATAGCATGAGTATCGAATTACGCAAGTGACATCCGATGACATGTGCCAACCAAGTCATCGACCCTGACCACCCGATCCCGTTAGTCACCTCTTACGACAAGCATGTGTTGTTCTAACCCGGATCTTCACGGCTGAGCCGGAGTATGGTGTAAGACACATTAATATAATTGTCCAAAGCTACGTTAAACCCAACTCACTCACTAACCCTATCTTGGCTTCTTGTCGGTTTCTAAGTCTAATCTTTCTTCAACTGACACATGGCATAAATGAAATAGAGGTCAAAGCGGTGTTAAGTCACTCACCAATTAGTCACGCTATTACCAGCGTTACAATGACGTGATTGGTAAGCGATAAGAAAAAAACCACTTTAGTCCTCACTTGCAACTTGTCCGCATCATATTTCTTTGCACAGGGAAACTTTAGGTGCACGCACTTCCGTCACCCGTAAACAGGGCCTAGCTTCCTGGATGGCACGAGTGTATGGTGGTACTGTGTATAACAACCAGGATCCTTGTAATACCAAGCAGGTATTTGTCCTAATAACGAGAGCTGTCATTGTTTTCCTTGCGCATATCGCGTATATCATCCCAGCATGGGTTAGACATAAAGGCATGCAGGCCACAGGGTCAAGTATCGTCGATCCGGAAGTGACAGCACCTTCCCTATTCCATCTCCGGCTACATATAATTACATATGGATTGTTGTTACAGACAGAATAATCATATCCAGTTCCTGCTTCGAGACTTCTTAGAAACAAGGAACCAACTTTCCAGTATGTCCGGTGAAGAAGTATTTGTTTCTGGTAACACCAATCCTATGTCCGGTGAAGAAATCTTTGTTTCTGGTAACACCAATCCCATGTCCGGTAAAGAAGTATTTGTTTCTGGTAACACCAATCCCATGTCCGGTGAAGAAATCTTTGTTTGTGGTAACACCAATCCTATGTCCGGTGAAGAAGTCTTTGTTTGTGGTAACACCAATCCCATGTCCGGTAAAGAAGTATTTGTTTCTGGTAACACCAATCCCATGTCCGGTGAAGAAATCTTTGTTTCTGGTAACACCAATCCTATGTCCGGTGAAGAAGTCTTTGTATCTGGTAACACCAATCCTATGTCCGGTGAAGAAGTATTTGTATCTGGTAACACCAATCCTATGTCCGGTAAAGAAGTCTTTGTTTCTGGTAACAACAATCCCATAAAAGTTCAAGATACGACACCTCGTTTCAAGCAAAGGGATATCCCATCTGTGTGATAAAGTGGATTTCATTAAGACTATTACATATTTTTAAAGTAATAACTTCATTCCCGAATACCATGTCGTTATTTGCATTCAGCAATATTCCAGCCATATGGCGGCGGTATGTAAATAATCGAGGCTGGACCAGACAGTGAGCCTGACCACCCGATCCCGTTAGTCGCCTCTATGACAAGTCATAGGTTACTGAAGACCAATTCTAACCCGGATCTTCACAGGTGAATATAACTCAAGATGTCCTGTATTGGATGCCAAAACAAGTTAAGTAGTAGCCTTGATGTAAGGTGTTGTCACCCTCCTAAGACCGTCGTGCAATAGGAACATGACAATTCACAATCATACGTCCGTAATACCATATATATTATGAACACTGTCAAGCGATTATTTTCCATATTACACATAAAATGTCACCCGTTTAATTCAGAAACTGATGCGGAAGGGTGGCCTAGTGGTTAATGCGTTGGCTCCTCACGCCGTAGACCCGGGTTTGATTCCCCACATGGGTACAATGTGTAAAGCCCATTTCTGGTGTCCCCAGCCGTGATATTGCTGGAGTATTGCCAAAAGCGGTGTAAAAAACAAACTCACTCGTGGATAACTGTCGTTGCAGTTGTAGTATTAAGAGTTAAATGGCATACTGTAAAACATGGAGTGGAGTCTTGGAGTGGAGCCTTGGAGTGGAGTCTTGGAGTGGAGTCTGGAGTCTGGAGTATATGTGCACTTGCCATTTCAGTAAATACTGATTACTGTTTAGAAATATACCATTAATGGCTCTTCCCAGTTGTCATTTATACCTTTTGAATCACCGGTTTAAAAAAAGTACTGCAAATTCATATACATGCTGAAATACCTAATTTCTTTACAAATATAATGTAACTATATTATATTTGTAGTTTATACAGGATATTGCCACTGTTCCTTCATTGAAAATAATATAAATAAATAAATAAATAAATATGTTATCTAATTCATCTTAGATATAAGTCTTTCTTGCCTTACAGATTTGGGAAATAATTGTTCATATCTATACATAGAGATGCAAATCTTAAAGATAATCCAACACATTTACAGTCCAGATAGTTATGTTTTATTTCTGAAATTTGATATTTATGAGGGAAAGTTAATGCAAGTATATAAATCATGAATGGGTAGATGGTTTTGTCTTTGTAATTGTGCTATTTGTTATGTAAAACATAAAACCAAACAACAATACTGTATTCACGTTTATATTTTGCTGATGGGACTCCTGATGTCATTTCAAATCTTTTCAGTTCAAAATATGTTACATGTGACATATTTATAAAACAAACTATCTAAACGATGAACGATATATCTTGCCATACTGAAATTTGTGCTGAATCCTGGATGGCTGTCAAGTGTCATGGGTTGAGGACTGGTCATTCATTCTTGAAAAAGGGTTTGCCTGAACTTTATCAAGGCATTGACATTGTAGATGTTTATCAGAACTAAACATCCTGTAGTTGAAAAACGGTAATTCCTCGAAAATATTTCATTAATTTCTTTAAAAAAGAAATATTGTCAACAAATAACAATGAATACAATGTCTACAATACTTTAACTGGAAAATATATTTGCACTTTCAAGGAGAAGACATTTTATGTTGGAAAGATTCTTGGCTATACAAGGATTCCTATTGCAGTATTACTATATTTACTACCATAAGGGTGTTTACACCAGTTTATCCAAGTGATAATCGAAACATTGGTGGAAACTTTCCATCTATACAAATTTGGTCTGTATACTGAAGAAGAGGGAAAAGAATTCAGTCCCACACAGAAATTTGGCAA